CCCTGCTGGCATGTAAAGAACCTCAGGCTAAACCACTGAACAATGAGAGAATGATGAGGAACTATGTGAAGAGCTAATCCCAGCCAACACCACGTGGAGCAGTGTCCAGGTGGCCCTCCTAATCCCCAGAACTGTGCAAAATAACAAAGTGTTGTTTTAAAGACATTATGTTTTACTGTGACAACTACAAACATGGAGAACAGAAAATGCATAAGTCAAATCTCAAAATATTTAATGTAGATTCCACATTTTTCCTATTTACTATCACTTTTCCACGGTTCATAGGTGTATATACAGTTGGTAATGAACTGAAAATGTCAAAATGCTGTAGCTAGAAGCCAAGGAATTTCCGAAGTCTTAAATAATGCCTTACATAATTAGAAATGTACTCGTTTAATGAAACTCTGTAAGCAGCTCCTAGGGCTGGAAAAGCAGCATCTACCTGAGCTCTAAAATAAAAGGGCACACTAGCAGTCCTTTTAGCAATTATGTTCTTTAAGACTGTAATGATATACTTAAATTTGTAATGTGAAAAGTCTTAAGCCCAAGGTTGGAAGTTAGCAGAGATCTAAACAGATCTGAAATCCTTCCCTTTCCTTATATGACTCAGAACAATGTTTTGAGATTTTCTACTAGGTAGAGCTATATCCATTATTTATGTAACGAACACTCATACGTTGCTGACTATGCCCATATACTGCTATAAGTGACTCAATGAGTAGGTACTACCTTTAATATCCATTTATAGATGAGGAAATCAGGGTACAGAGAGAAGTAAGTTGTCCAAGGTTACAATGCAGCGGCATTTTGCTCTCTCTCGGATAAAGGGGGACGGGGAGGAGGCAGAAGTGGAGTTAGGTGGTGGTATGTATTCAAATAACAGCTCCGTTTAAATAATTCTTCCCAGAGAAGTATCTGTGAAAGCAGGGAGGCTTTTGCATGTCGTTTGAGGTCCATGATGTAGCTCCAATCGTAAAGCTTCATCTGCCACCACTGGCCCCCGCACCCTAAACTTCAGCTATAGAAAACTCAGCCCCAAAATATACCTTTGGAGGGACTTCCCTGGTGGTGCAGTGGTTAAGAGTCCGCCTGCCAATGCAGGGGACATGGGTTCCATCCCTGGTCCGGTAAGATCCCACATGCCGCGGAGCAACTAAGCCCGTGCGCCACAACTACTGAACCTGCGCTCTAGAGCCCACGAGCCACAACTACTGAGCCCACATGCCTAGAGCCCACGCTCCGCAACGAGAAGCCACTGCAGTGAGAAGCCTGCGCACCACAACAAGAGTAGCCCCTGCTCTCTTCAACGAGAGAAAGCCCGCACGTAGCCACGAAGACCCAACACAGCCAAAAATAAATAAATATAAATAAATTTATTAAAAAAACAAAAGCAGAAACAAATATACCTTGGAATTATTCTCCTCTGTGCTTTGCTCCTCTGGTCCCACCCAACATTGACCCCCTGCATAGAACCCTCTTCAAATGTAAAAGGGAGTTATATACCTTTCAAAGTCCACCAGTAGTGCTTTCCCCATAAAGCCTTCCTAATTCTCAGTATATTACCCTCTTGACTTCTAGAATCAATTGCTTCTTCCATCATGTTTCCTTAGATCTAGAATTCTTTTTTTAAAAATTTATTTATTTTTGGTGAATCATTTTTAGGAAGATAAGGTAGCATTTTGATTTCATAAGCCACTTGGAATCTGGAAAAGAAAACTTTATATATATGCTTATTTGCTTTTAAAATTAATTTAATTAAAAACAAATGTAATGACACAATGTCGGCGACTAGTCCACAGCGAGGGTGAAAAGAAGTTAGTTTCCTTAGAACCAAGGAGGCACCCTTGCACCTGCAGGACAACTTGCCCCATCCATAGGGAGGAATAAGCTTCCTGTTACAGCTGCAACTGCTAAGCAGCTGGCCTTGCTGTGGTTTCTCCTAGACGTTTTTCTAGATACCATGTGGCTGACAGGGTCTTGGTGCTCTGGCTGGGTGTCAGGCCTGAGCCTCTGAGGTGGGAGAGCCAAGTTCAGGACATTAGTCCACAAGAGACCTCCCGGCTCCACGTAAAATCAAACAGTGAAAGCTCTCCCAGAGATCTCCATCTCAATGCTAAGGCCCAGCTCCACTCAACGACCAGCAAGCTACAGTGCTGGACATCCTATGCCAAACAACTAGCAAGACAGGAACACAACCCCACCCATTAGCAGAGAGGCTGCCTAAAATCATAGTAAGGTCACAGACACCCCAAACACACCACCGGCCGCAGTCCTGCCCACCAGAAAGACAAGATCCAGCCTCATTCACCAGAACACAGGCACGAGTCCCCCCACCAGGAAGACTACACAACCCACTGAACCAACCTCAGCCACTGGGGGCAGACACCAAAACCATCAGGAACTATGAACCTGCAGCCTGAGAAAAGAAGACCCCAAACACAGTAAATGAAGCAAAATGAGGAGACAGAGAATCAAACAGCAGATGAAGGAGCAAGGTAAAAACCCACCAGACCTAACAAATGAAGAGGAAACAGGCAGTCTACCTGAAAATGAATTCAGAGTAACGATAGTAAAGATGATCCAAAATCTCGGAAATAGAATGGAGAAAATACAAGAAACGTTTATCAAGGACCTAGAAGAACTAAAGAGCAAACCATAATGAACAACACAATGTTCAGTGCAGCTCTATTTATAATAGCCAGGAAGCAACCTAAGTGTCCATCGACTGATGAATGGGTAAAGAAGATGTGGCACATATATACAATGGAATATTACGCAGCCATGAAAAGAAATTGAGTTATTTGTAGTGAGGTGGATGGACCCAGAGACTGTCATACAGAGTGAAGTAAGTCAGAAAGAGAAAAACAAATATCATATGCTAACACATATATATGGAATCTGAAGGGAAAAAACAAGGTTATGAAGAACTAGGGGCAGGACAGGAATAAAGACGCAGACGTAGAGAATGGACTTGAGGACACGGGGAGGGGGAAGGGTAAGCTGGGACGAAGTGAGAGAGTGGCATGGACTTATATACACTACCAAATGTAACATAGATAGCTAGTGGGAAGCAGCCGCATAGAACAGGAAGATCAGCTCTGTGCTTTGTGACCACCTAGAGGGGTGGGATAGGGAGGGTGGGAGGGAGATGCAAGAGGGAGGAGATAATGGGGATATATGTATATGTATAGCTGATTTACTTTGTTATAAAGCAGGAAAAAAGACACCACTGTAAAGCAATTATACTCTAATAAAGGTGTTAAAAAATGTAATGATATCCACTTCTAAGAACATGAAAACATGATTTAAAAATCACTGTATTCTACAATGGAATATTACTCAGCCATAAAAAAGAATGAAATAATGTCATTTGCTGCAAAATGGATGAACCTAGATAGAGATAATCATTCTAAGTGAAGCAAGTCAGACAGAGAAAGACAAATACATGACATCACTTGTATGTGGAATCTAAAAAAAGGATGCAAATGAACTTATTTACAAAACAAAAATAGACTCACAGACATAGAAAACAAACTTATGGTTACCAAAGGGGAAAGTGGAGAGAGGGATAATTAGGAATTTGGGATTAACCAATACACACTACTATATATAAAATAGATAAACAACAAGGACCTACTATAGCACTATAGCACAAGGAACTATATTCAATATCTTGTAATAGCCTATAATGGAAAATAAGCTGAAAAAGAATATACATATATATATATACACACACATGACTGAATCACTTTGCTATATACTTGAAACATTGCAAATCAACTATAGTTTAAAAAAATCACTGTATTCTAAATAAAACATCTTTTGGACTAAGGCAGTGTTTCTGAAACTTTTTTTTTCCATTATTGCCCTCCCCGTACAGGAGAAAATTTAAATTAAATTAAAATTCTTCCTAGTGAGAGAAATAAGGAATAAGATTTTGTTGGGTAGAGTTGAGTTTTGAAGGGGCACAAGCCACTATCATATCTAAGGGTCTTTTTGCCTCCAAGAAAGAAGTTTCAGAATGCATGGTATAAGCCCATTAACAGAAAACTGCAAATTCAAGATTCTGCCCAACTAGTTTTAGACGCACTGATGGGCCAGGTGTCATCCCCTTGGCTGTGTCTGAAAATATCAAGACTCTCAATGTGCTTCTCACCCTTAGCTCACCCTGATGGGAGTGTGTTTTGGGTTTTTCCTCATCTTTAAAATGAGACAGTAGTTTCATGCGCTCATATTTTTAGGGACAAGGGAAAAATCTGAAAATATTTTGAACGTTGAATCTAATGTTTCCTTTATGGAATCTAACAAATCTGTTTTCTTGAAAGGAGGTATCTGATAATTTGCCTTACCCATTAATTAGCTGAGAGGCCTAATGGTGTTCCTTCCCTGAAAGACTCTCTGCCTCCTTGTTCCTTCCTAAACATACTAAGTGTACTTTAAAATAGATACATATTTAAAATAGATATTACAGCCTTCCAGAAAGGCTGTAATAGGTGTTTCCCTTAATGAACACCATAATTTCCTTTTACCAAAGGATTGTTACAAGGATTAAATTATTTAACATACATAAAATGCCTAGCACAATAAACTTTCTCTTTAGTATAAAACACACGGACTTCCCTGGTGGCACAGTGGTTAAGAATCCGCCCGCCAATGCAGAGACATGGGTTCAAGCTCTGGTTCGGGAACATCCCACATGCCGCAGAGCAACTAAGTCCGTGCGCCACAACTACTGAAGCCTGTGTGGCTAGAGCCTGTGCTCCGCAACAAAGAGAAGCCACCACAATGAGAAGCCCGCGCACCGCAACGAAGAGTAGCCCCCGCTCGCTGCAACTAGAGAAAGCCCCCATGCAGCAATGAAGACCCAATACAGCAAAAAAATAAATAAATAAAACACGAAGCCATAAATTATGAAAGAAACAATATATAACCAACTGAAAAGCAAAGAGCTTATTGTCTAAGTGACTGAAACTATTGTTGACATAACCACAATACCATTATCGCATCTAAAAAAATTAATAATTCTTTAATATGATCAATTTTCCAAGTATTATACATGTTCAAATTTCCCTGAGTCTTATAAAATGTTTTTGACAATTGTTTTGTTTGAATCAAGATCCATACAAGATTCACACACTGCATTTACTTGATACACTTCTTAAATTTCTTAATTTTAGGTTCCCCTCCCTTTTTTTTCCCCTTTCCATTTATTTGTTGAACTGTGTCATTTGTCCTATAAAGTTTCCCACACTGGATTTTGCTAATTGCACCCCTGTGGTGGTGGTAACATGTGCCTCTATCCCTCTAGTTCTTGTAAACTTGATAGTTGGATCTGGTGGCTTTCTCAGATTCAGGTTTGATGTTTTGGGCAAGAAGGCTTCATAGGTGCTGCCATTTACTCATTACACCCAGCAGAAGGGCTATAGTGTTTAGTAATGTAGACACTCAATGGTAATGTTGATCAGTGAGCGCTGTCAGGCTGATTTGTTCATCAAAAAGTCTCCAACAGTCTTTCATTTAATGCCACCCTCTTCTTAACATGCCTTCTTGGGCTTTAGTATCTAGAAGGCTAAAAATGCATTTCTCAAATTCCCTTGCAGCTAGAGTTATTGATGTGATATAAATTCCACCACTAGAGGCACTTGTGTAGAGTGAACTAAGTGGGGGAGGAGCAGTTTATGCGGCATCTTCGTGACAGGGTGTATTGTAGTGAAGGACATATGGCTGTGGAACCAGTAGCTGTAGGGGTGGCTTCCCCATTCAACAGGTGGACTTCGAGAATGGCCTGAACAACAGTCCCTTGACAGCTCGGTTCTATAGCCTGGATTTGTGAGTCACTCCTGAAGCTTAGCCGGCAGGCTGTTTTTGCAATCCTGCCAACCATTTGTAATAGACCATGTAATAAATCCCTTTTGGCTTAAATTACTTTAGAGTAGATTTTGTTCTCTGCTTTGAACCCTGACCAATACAGCTCCTCTAAGAAAAAGTATTTTCAGCAGTTGTCAAACAGTTGCCTCTCTGATTTTATTTTAAGAAGTGAATTTATTAATAGTTAAACTTGTTAACAATTGCCTGAGTATGTAAAATAGATATTCTAGGAAGACATGTCTTTTTAAAACAAAAAAATCATACAGCAATTTCACATTCCCATTGTATAAACTTTCTAAAAAGAAACATGGAAGTGCTTCCCCCCACCCCAGTTTTTTGAGAAATAATTGACAAACATTGCTGTACAGGTTTAAGGCAGACAGCATGATGGCTTGATTTACATATATTGTGAAACGATTACTACAATAGGTTCAAGTGACATCTATCATCTCATAGGTTCAATAAAAAGAAAACAATTTTCTCCTTGAGATGAGAGCTCTTAGGAAAGCTCTTAGATGACTCTCCTAACAACTTTCCTGTATGTCATACAGCAGTGTCAGCTATAGTCATCATGTTGTACAGCACATCCCTAGTACTTAGTTATCTTATAACTGAAAGTTTGTACCTTTTGACCATCTTTCTCCAATTCCCCCTCCCCCCAGTGTTTTTTAAAAACATTTAAAAATTCATCCATGTTAAGAAAAATTAATCCATGTCCATTAATGAAGACAATTTTATTGAAAGGTAATTTAAATATTGTCTTCACAAAATTTTAATTCCATAATGTGAACTAAAAAGTATAAATCTTCAGTCTAGTAAAGAGATTTTTATTCAATATTTTACTACATAAATGTTCAAACACAGAGAACTTAAAAGAATTATACCATGACCTATCCAGTGACCTAATTATACGTATACCTGTCACCTGGACTCTACAGTTAACATTGTTATATTTGCTTTATTACATACCTAACCATCTATGCATCCCTCTATCATACATTAATCCATCTTATTTTCTGATACATTTCAAAGTAAGTTGCAAACATAGTATATAGTATTTGGGCACTGAAGGGCTTCCAAATGACATAAAATGCATTAGAAAGTAAACTAGTCTATAGTGTCCTGAATTGTCAAGTCCTGGCGAAGATCTAGGTAAGGAGTTGCACGGAGTGTAAATGTCATCAATCAGAGTGAGAGACTCAATGTGAAATCTAGCAAGATTGCAACACTCTCTGCCTTTACCCTCAGAACTCTCCTCCTCTTTTTACAGTTACTTTAATTATAAAAGAGGAAATACATAACTGGCCCCTCTCCCCCTCAAATGATTTGTGCTATTGAAGGTAGCAATTCTTTAGATCAGAATCTCAGAAAACTTGCTGGAAATCAAGATGTTATATTTGCAGAAATGAGCTGGCATCATGAACTCAATGTTAATTTGGTTATTGTTACTCTCCTTGAGGGCAGGGGCTTAATTTGTTTTATCATTTATCCCCAGCATGTAGAACACTGCCTGGCATATACTAGGGTTCAATACATATTCACTGAAGGAAGGAGTGAATTCAAGTGCTTGATTCCAAACATAATCTTCATATATTTCATGCCACTACTAATGAAAGAAGTTTTTCTAAAATAAAAATAAGCCTTAACATAAAAATAAGAGCATGGGTTGGTTACCTAGAGCTGGAACTGCAATTACACAGAAGGGACCATGTTTTCCATATGTGCAGCAGGAACCTCAGCACCAGCCTACCGTGCACCCGCCGCTGAGGCTCAGCTGACTTGTGGGGCACGTTGTGCCAAAGCCCATGGCTGGGAAGAAGCAGCATTGCCTTTTCATTTTTTTACTTTTTAGTCTTTACTGAATTTATTACAATATTGCTTCTGTTTTCTGTTTTGGTTTTTTGGCCCCGAGGCATGTGGGATCTTAGCTCCCCTACCAAGGATCGAACCTGCAGCCCCTGCACTGGAAGGTGAAGTCTTAACCACAGGACGGCCAGGGAAGTCTCAGCCCTGCCTTCTGATGGGGACCATAGGAAAACCTCCCAGAACTGTTCGGGCACTTTGCAAACACACCCTGGACTGCCCAGAAACAAATGAGAAGTTTGTCTATAAATCAGTGGGGGCAAGAGTCAGTGGAATGTGAATTATTACCGTTGATGTTACTCTCCTCTTGTACCTTCAGACTGGTGATACCTGAGGAAATTTAAATGTGCTGCAGTGTTAACATTACCTTTTTAAGGTGATAATTTTCTTTGAGATTTCCTTGGCCTGGAAGAGCATTTCCATATTCAGCACAAGTTCATCAAGCTAGCACACATCTCAACAGCTACTGTGAGATTTTTAAAAATATATTTTAGTCTCTTCAAGAGAATGAGAGACAAATTATTTTTTATTGTGTCTGTATAGAGAGCAACATAAACAATAATTTCAAATCTATTCAGTTTTCCTGTTAGAGATCACAATGGCGGCCTACCGAGATGGGAATCAAGGGACCAGCAAATTAGAAAGATTTAAAAACCATAAAATTACCTCGTATTTTATACTCAAAATCGGTATGTAGAGAAATTTTATGCCATAAGCTATAAAAGGTTAAATGTCCAAAGCAATCTCGTGCTACAGCTAGTGCTACCCTCTCACTAAATAAACATATGCTCTGCAGGTCCCCACAAGACTTTCAAATAGCCCAGTGATGACTGTCATTAAAACATACCTAAGAGAAATCACATTCTTCCAAGTGAGACATCAGAGGCTCCCTGCCACTTGGGAGAATGTGATGAATTCAAGCACTGGATATTGGTGGAAGGTGGTTGACTGAGACAAATATTCATTTGCTTTTTCTAAGAATGTTGCTTCTCTATGTCAAGGTTTCCACTAGCCACTGGTACATTCAGAGAAATAAGAAACATGCAGTGAGCGACACTTTCATAAGGGTAAACGTACCCAATTGAATTGAAATTTCTTTTTCTCTGTCTTTATGACTTTCCTATTTATTTGGTGTTAAGATGTCCTTTTTGTTAGTAGTGGTGATGAATGACAGTTTTATATTTTCTTGCACTTACCTTGGCAAAAATGAAAGTAAAAAGCTCCATGTTAGTCTCCAAAATTATCTTGAAAATTTAACTGTACATGGAAGTCCAATGTCTAGAAAAACCAAAAAGTCTCTTCCAAAATAAGATTCTGCAATGCAAAAAACAAATAAAATAATCAACAACTCTATGAATTCATTTTCCCTGTTCAGGTGTTGGACATGAAACTGAACAAGTTGAAAATATTGGTTGGTAGGGCAGGAATTCCCCCATTTTCAGCCCCCTAAAGCATCTCAAATTCCCTCAAGGGATGTAATAAAATTAACTAATACAAGATAGCTTCTGAAGTCAACTGCCTAAGTTTAATTCTTAGCTCTAACATTTACCAACTGTATTATCTTGGTCAAATTACTTAACCCACTCTGTGCCTTGATTTCCTTATTCACAGAATGGAGATAATAATAGTATCTACATCATAGGGCTGTTGTGAAGATTAAGTCAGGTAATCCATGTAAAGATTCATCATCACTTTTTCATCATCCTAAACTGAAACTCTGTACCTATTAAACAATAACCACCCATTACCCCTTCCCCCCAGCTCCCGGTGAACACTGTTCTACTTTTCATTTCTATGAATTTGACTAATCCAGGCACCTTATGTAAGTGAAGTCATACAGTATTTGCTTTTTGTGCCTAGCTTATTTCACTTAGCACAAAATTTCCAAGGTTTACTCATGTTGTAGCATGTATCAGAACTTCACTCCTTTTTAAGGTTAATAATACTCACTTCTATGGAAATACCACATTTTGTTCATCCATTCATTTATCAATAAAAATTTATGTTGTTTCCACCTTTTGGCTATTGTCACATTACATATTCTTAATAAATTACTTGAATTATTTATTAAGTTATAATTTACTACTTTTGGGAGGATCTTACATGCAAGCCACAAAATCAAGCAAGAATTTACTCTGAGTTTCACATCTCATCACCCGCAAGTAATTGGATTGTGCTGATAAAATTACTGTGATAACTCTTAGTAATTCATCTTTGTGCAATATCATTGCAAGTCACTTAAGCTCTCTCAATTTCATCATTTGTAGAATAAGAACAATAGACACCAAAAGCAAAAGCAACAAAAGCAAAAATAAATTCAAGTGGGACTACATCAAACTAAAAAACTTCTGCGCAGCAAAGGAAACCATCAACAAAATGAAAAGGCAACCTACTGAATGGGAGAAAATATTTGCAAATCGTATATCAGATAAGGGGTTAACATCCAAAATATATAATGAAGTCATATATCAGAAAACAAATAATCCAATTAAAAACTGGGTAGATAATATGAACAAGCATTTTTCCAAAGACATACGGATGGTCAGCAGGTACATGAACAGATGCTCTACATCATTAATTATCAGGCGAATGCAAATCAAAACCACAATGAGATATCACCTCATACATGTCAAAATGGGTATTATCAAAAGGACTCAAAGAGGATGTAGAGAAAAGGGAACCCTTCTGCATTGTTCGTGGGAATGTAAATTAGTGCAACCGCTATGCAAAACAGTATTTAGATTACTAAAAAATTAAGAATAAAACTATCATATGATACAGAAATTCTACTTCTGGGCATTTATCCAGAGAAAACAGACTAATTCAAAAAGATAAATGAACCCCATTCATTGCAGCCTTATTTACAATAACCAAGATATGGAAACAACCTGAGTGTCCACTGATGGATGAATGGATAAAGAAATTGTGGTATGTATATATATATATACACACACACACACACACACACACACACACACACACACACACACAATGGAATATTATTCAGCCATAAGAAAAGAATGGAATTGTACCATTTGCAACAACATGGATGGACCTCGAGTGCATTATGCTAAGTGAAATAGTGAGATGTCAGACAGAAAAAGACAAATACTGTATGATCTTTTTAAAATGTGGAATCTAAAATATGTATATAAAGCTAAGCTTATAGATACAGAGAATAACCTTTAAAGGAATGACATAGCCAAGGACATGACATAAACTGGTTAGAACCGATTAGGCCCAAAATGGTAGAAGATTTGACTTCCAGTAGAACTTGAGCCTCACTGTAATACATTAGCATGCTAAATGACACACCCACCAGCAACAGGACAGTTCTGAGGCTGACCATAAAAGGCCAAAAAGTGGGTGGTGGCCCAATTCCTGGAAATCCCTGTCCCTTCCCCAAATTAGCTGGAATACTCCTCTCACTTGTTAGCCTATGAAACAACCCAGCCCATAAAAACGAACCACCCCATATTTTGGGGCCAGTCTCCCTTCTGAGACAGACCACATTCTGTCTGTGGAATATGTATCTCTCTAAATTAACTTGCTTCCACTTCACTGTGGCTCGCTCTTGAATTCTTTCCTGTGTGAAGCCAAGGACCCTCACTTGGCAGCCCATCCCAGGGATTCACTTGAGACCTGGGACATGACCATCCTCTTGAAGTGCATTTTTCCTGCAACACCAGGGTTTAGAACCCTGAGGGACTAGGGAAGAACCAAACAACAGTCTCAACAAGCGGATGCTAATGCTCTTCTTCAGAGCATGGCTGAGATTCTTGCTTTTTGGAGCATTCTTGGTGTTTGCTAGTTTCTAAGCATGGTTCTTCAGCCTACTGAAAATACTGATATCCTTCCAATAAATTCCCCTTTGCTTAAGTTGGCTGAAATTGGTTTATAGTGCTTACAGCTGAACTCTGAAGAGAAAGCAAAGGCAGCCTGCTGCTTCTGCAGGTTTCAGCAACCTCTCCTTGTATCTAGCCATCTGAATCCTTTCCAATTCACATCACAGAAATACTCTGAATGTTTCAAGCCTTGGGGTCCTTGAGACCCCAAGCACTAAATTCCACATTTATACCAATTGTTCAGGGAACAATCTCTGAAGGAAAAATACATGGAATCCTCTTATGGATTTAACATTTAACTTTTAATATGCTACTGAGTTGCAACAAACGTGGAAATACCGGCTAAGACAGCCATGAGTGAAACAAAGCCAAGTGAGATCCAACAATTATGGCTGGTGTCAAGTTGGATGAGTCTTCTCTATGTTGAAATGAGACAAGTACTTAATAGGAGTGTATTAAGGCATATATGAGAAAAAGGAGAAAAGCAATTACTCGAGGAGAGGGGGAAGATGGCGAAAGAGTAAGACGCGGAGATCACCTTCCTCCCCACAGATACACCAGAAATACATCTACACGTGGAACAACTCCTACAGAACACCTACTGAACGCTGGCAGAAAACCTCAGACCTCCCAAGAGGCAAGAAACTCCCCATGTACCTGGGTAGGGCAAAAAAAAAAAGAATAAACAGAGACAAAAGAATAGGGACTGGACCTGCACTTCTGGGAGGGAGCTGTGAAGGAGGTGAAGTTTCCATGCACTAGGAAGACCCTTTACTGGTGGAGACGGGTGGGGTGAGGGAGAAGCTTCAGAGCCGCTGAGGAAAGCGCAGCCACAGGTGTGCGGAGGGCAAAGCGGAGAGATTGCCGCACAGAGGATCGGTGCCGATCGGCACTCACCAACACGAGAGGCTTGTCTGCTCACCCGCCAGGGCGGGCGGGGCTGGGAGCTGAGGCTCGGGCTTCGGTCGGAGCGCAGGGAAAGGACTGGGGTTGGCGGCGTGAACACAGCCTGCAGGGCGTTAGTGCACCACGGCTAGCCGGGAGGGAATGCAGGAAAAGGTCTGAAGCTGCCTAAGAGGCAAGAGACTTTTTCTTCCCTCTTTGTTTCCTGGTGCGCGAGGAGAGGGGATTAAGAGCGCTGCTTAAAGGAGCTCCAGAGATGGGCGCGAGCCGCGGCTAACAGCGCGGACCCCAGAGACGTGCATGAGATGCTAAGGCTGCTGCTGCCGCCACCAAGAAGCCTGTGTGCGAGCACAGGTCACTATCCACACCTCCCTTCCCGGGAGCCTGTGCAGCCCGCCACTGCCAGGGTCCCGGGATCCAGGGACAACTTACCCGGGAGAATGCACTGCGCGCCTCAGGCTGGTGCAACGTTGCACTGGCCTCTGCCGCCGCAGGCTCAATCCGCATCGTGCCCCTCCTTCCCCCCCGGCCTGAGTGAGCCAGAGCCGCCGAATCAGCGGCTCCTTTAACCCCGTCCTGTCTGAGTGAAGAACAGACGCCCTCCGGCGACCTCCACGCAGAGGCGGGGCCCAATCAAAAGCTGAGCCCCTGGGAGCTGTGAGAACAAAGAATTGAAAGGGCAATCTCTCCCAGCAGCCTCAGGAGCAGCGGATTAAAGCTCCACAATCAACTTGATGTGCCCTGCATCTGTGGAATACCTGAACAGACAATGAATCATCCCAAATTGAGGAGGTGGGCTTTGAGAGCAAGATTTATTATTTTTTCCCCTTTTCCTCTTTTTGTGAGTGTGTATGTGTATGCTTCTGTGTGAGACTTTGTATAGCTGCTTTCACCATTTGTCCTAGGGTTTTATCCGTCCGTTTTTTTTTTTACTTAAAAACTTTTTTCTTAATAATTATTTTTTATTTTAATAACTTTATTTTATTTTATCTTACTTTATTTTCTTTTATCCTCTTTCTTTCTTTCTTTCTCTCTCTCTCTCTTCCTTTCTTTCTTTGCAGCCAGGAGTCAGTGCTGTGCCTCTGAGGTGGGAGAGACAACTTCAGGACACTGGTCCATAAGAGACCTCCCAGCTCCACGTAATATCAAACGGTGAAAATCTCCCAGAGATCTCCATCTCAACACCAACACCCAGCTTCACTCAACGACCAGCAAGCTACAGTGCTGGACACCCTATGCCAAACAACTAGCAAGATAGGAACACAACCCCACCCATTATCAGAGAGGCTGCCTAAAATCATAATAAGTCCACAGACACACCAAAACACACCACCAGATGTGGACCTGCCCACCAGAAAGACAAGATCCAGCCTCATCCACAGGCACTAGTCCCCTCCACCAGGAAGCCTACACAACGCACTGAACCAACGTTAGCCACTGGGGACAGACACCAAAAACAACGGGAACTACAAACCTGCAGCCTGCAAAAAGGAGACCCCAAACACAGTAAGATAAGCAAAATGAGAAGACAGAAAAACACACAGCAGATGAAGGAGCAAGATAAAA